TATTTATTTATTTATTTACTTATTTACTTATTTATTTATATTTATAATTATAATTATAAAGAGTGTTCAAGCACCACTACAAATTTTGTGGTAGTGTAACTGGTCAGTACTAATATTCAAGATTGTTGGTCTTACCATCAACGAGGTAGGGGAGTGTTCTAAAAGTTAAAAGCAAAACAAGTTTTACCGTCAGATAATACTGACTGATGTATTTTGCTAACATCATAGCTGTTAAGATATCTAATTATCAAAAAAAGATTAATTTTTTTTGCTAGTATTCAAATATTTTTCCACCTTTTTGGAAAGTCTGCCAAAAATGGCAGTTTTTTGTGGAATCTTAAACGATTAATGTAGTATGCAAAAAAAATCTTATTAGTAAGGAAAACACTTAGGAAACTGAAGAAGTCAAACAGCCGGTGTCACCATTAAATAAGACTTGACGTTCTAAAAAACTATCTTCTAAAAAAAAAAAAGCTGTATAATAAGCGGATCAGAATCTTTGAGCTAGAGGTCGGCAAAGCATAAAACAGTGTAATGTTTTTGGTGGTGATGACTTCAACGCAATAGGTGTTATTTGAGCTACCTCTTTTGTTTTTATTTGTTCTTATAAGGTATATACCGGTTCTGTGTATATCTATTAAAATCTTCTACCTGCAATTCTTTGTGCACAGTTTAGCTTTTTCCCTAATAGATGTCGGTATCACATTCTTATGACCTTTGCTGACTGGTAATCCATTATGTAAATTTGAAGCTTTTTTTTATTTCTTAGATCACAGTTGATCATTGCAATATCAGCCGGCTTAACTTTTGGGTTAATGGAAAGCGGGGGGGTTCGTAGAAGCGGAAAAGGATTAGCTTTAATGAGAAAAAAAGGAGTTGAGAAGACGGCATCTTTTACGGTTTTGAGTTTTGGCAGTAATAAGTTCCGTCTTCTTGCAGTAACAATTCGGCTAATGCATTCGGAGCTGCTTGAGAATAAGAAGTTGACATAAGACTTTTATTTTTTTTTTTATTTTTTTTTTTTTTTTGGTGTAAAACAGGTCATAGGAAAAACAATTAAGGCACAATTATATAATTATTATTAGTTTATGCAATTACTATGACATTTACCGTAGCTCAATAAGTTCAATCAATTATTATTTGCAAATTCAAAGTTCATCTATGCATATGTGAAAGTCTATAAAAAAAGTATCAGAACTGAGGGACTATTGCTTTATGGACAAAAGCAATAATATTCAACACAGTGTTTCAAATTGTAATTTTTTTATCTTTTTATTTCATTAGATTTCTAAAGTATAAAAAGTAGAAATAAGCAAAAACTATTTTTTTTTTACCAAATCTATAAACAGTGCAACTCCAATTCAGTTTTACTGCTGCCGAAACAGCAGTAAGAAGTTTACTTTGCAAAAGATTTTATTGCAAAAGAAGTTTAGAAAAAAGTCACAGTACTTTCAATAATTTTTTTAGGTGAGTAAAGTTGCACAAATATACGTCTTAAAAAAACTTTTCTGAATTACTAAAATTAGTGTAACTACACGATAATTAGCAGTGCTTTCATTATTTACAATAAAAGTAGCTTTAAAATGGTGTACACGCTGTTAAACAGTCATTATTGAGCGAACCAAGGTTGGTACAAAGTACCAAATATCAAAGATTTTGATGGATACTATGGACTTTTTGTTCTTTATTGACGACATTTTACCATTTAAATCGTTGTTCACCAACATTCGTTGTTCAGTAGTTCCAATAAACGGAAAACCCTTTGTCTGTATGTGAAATGTTGAACTGCTAATGACTATAGGAGATCCACTGGATACTGGAAGGTGTTAAGCGTGTTGGATAAGTAGTCAATAACATGTAGTCTGCCTCGTTCATACAATACTTCAGACCAAATTGATGTTGCTTCACCATAGAATAACTCTTGAAACTCTACGCCATTCTAAAAATAAGAAAATATTCGTAAAAGTTTTATACAGAAAAAAAAAATGAAAATATAATGACACCAGAATAAATTTAATTCTTTTCTTTTGTTTTTATAAATTTAAAAGTTATCTGACCCAAAATACAATAACAATCAAACTTTGGTTTTGGTCAAAGCAGCTATTGACAATCAAACTAAATAGGACTACCTGAAAAACTCGTAGTTTTGGCCTGCCCCTTACAACGACAATCAGCCTGGATTTATCGTCAAAGGTGATCCCCAGTGAATAACTGCCATTCTTTTTCCCAATTCTTTTCTTCTTTACACCGTCCTAAAAAATTCAATTTGTCATCAAATCGTTTAGAAATAACACCAATTTTTTTCACTTGCTTTTTCGTGACAGATATCCAGAAAAAAAAAAGAAACATTTGATAATTTCTTATAATTCTTTTCTGTAATATATAAAACGCCTTTTTTTACATTTAAAGGCCATTTAAAAGCTGTGCAGCACCATTTTTAGCTTTTTAAAATGCTCCTGTTTCTATTTTCAAAAATAGATCTTTTTTTAAACAAACTTTGAAATTTTCTGTAATAAAAAAATTCAAAAAAAAAAATCACTTATTAAGCTTTATTAAATTTTAACATTTTTTAAAAAGCGCAAGATATCTGTTGTTAAGAAAACATTTTTCTTATTTAAAACTAAAGTATCTATCCAACTTTTTATTCTCTGTTAGTCTGTACAAAAAAACTTGAAAAACTAGCTTAGCACTTAAGTTGAATATGCCAGATTCTAAATGTCATTACAGAATTAAACTTGAAATTAGTCGATATCTAGTTCTAACTTTAAATAAATAGATTTTCTGCAAAAATTAGGTAAGTTTCTGATTAAACAATAATAATCTCAAGATGATGTACTAATAAGTTGAAAAAACGCGTTTGCTCTTTGACACCTCCGAAATTTGTAGATTTTTTTGGCAGAGAACATTACCAGTGAAATAAAAGTTTTTTGAGAAGTCTTCAATTTTTTTATAAACTGTATAAACAATGTTGTGTCCATCTGAAATCAGATCTTACAATCTGCACAGTTCAGTGATGAAAAAGTAAAGCATTGCCTTTAGAGATACCTTTGAAATTTGCAAAATATAACTATCACAACTGATATAATATGAATCATTATATGCGGCAACAAAATTACAGGTATTCTGTATACCGTCTGCTATCTGTATCTGCTTGATCACTTCTAGACTAGTTGAAAGTACAATTAGTTGCAGTTTATCTCGAAGTAACACAATGATCTGAAATTTGCATAAACTAGTTACTTTACTCCAAACATTTCATCAATTATTGTAACAGTTCTATTTACTTTTTTAATTTTATATTATTATTTAAGAAATTGTTCGATGATAGTTTGTCATACATACTAAAAATTATCATTTAGCAGCAACTATGATCAAGGCATAAAAAATTTGACATAAAAAAAGTGCTAGTTTAACCTGATCATCTGTAGCAGTGATAGCTCTAGCAGGCGAAATAAGCTCAACATCATAGATATTTTTAGCATCTTTGAATGAACGAATTTGATTGTCATGTAGAATGACAATATTATCATTACCATCCATTGCCAAACGTTCAATTCTTTCACCAAGTGATATTTCTTTAACCTGTAAAATTCCAGTTAAGAAACAGTAAAAAATTTCCTCATGCTTCAAATTTTTTTTCCAAACTGTTAAATAAGTTTTGGCAACAATTTTTAGTGTGCTTAAATCTGTGCTATTCGGGATAAGTACGGAAATGTTTGGGTTAAGCCAAATGTTTATAGAATATTATTTTAGCAATATTCCTAAAACACCTATAAAAACTGTAAATCTCTCGAGTGTGCTAATGATTATTTCACAATTCTTTCACCGAGTGATATTTCTTCAAGATATCTTTTAAAAATCGCATTATTTTGGTTTATAAAAATGGTTATGCTTTTTTTGAACATCAATTGCTAGTTAAGGTTCCTTTTTTCTGTATGACTGCATATTTAGTTTTGTTAATTTTGGTGGTTAAAAAATGAAAATTCTGTCTGAAATGCAATTAAATTTTTGCAGTCATTTTAGAAGTATACTTTAACAGATTGTTTCCGTACAATTAATAGTCACTAAGTCTTTCTTTTGGCTAAGTATAGCTAAATAAAAAAAAAAATAATTTTTTTGGAAAATGAATGTTTATACTTTTTAAAGCCTTTTTAAAAGTACTGGATATCTCTTAAGCTAAAAGGTAACTATGTTAAAGGAACAAAAAAAAAAAAAAGAAAAACTGTAGCACAATTTTTACATCCCCCACCAAAAAAAAAATTCTAATCTTACACTTTTAAAGGCAATAAAGAAATAAAATTTGGTTTATTTTATGTGAAAAGAAAAAGCATTTTTCCTCTTATTTCTTACTCTTCTTTTTTTTTGTGAAAAACTTTTGGTGCTCTTAAAAAAATTCTCAGAAATTCTGATACAGACAACAACAGAGGATACTGCAAGAGTTATCTTTTGCTGTTAAACGTCATACAGATTGTTTTGAAATGTGGGCAAACTGGTCCATCTATCCTATCACCATTTCTATGTAAGGAAGAAAAAAAAAATGATTTTCGATCGAGGTGAACAATTATCATCAAAAAAATGCATGACATATTTATTTGCTGCCACAGTTTTTTTTTGTTTTTGTCTTCTCACAGGCGGTTAATTTTACATAAGTGCTGATGCTATTGTTTTTGATAAAACAAGTATCAATTTTTTTTTTGTTTTGTTTTCTGCGACAGTTAGAAATTTCAACATTTTTTAGAGCATTCAAATGAGTTGTAATTTTTTTTTTTCCTAGTTTGTTTGCGAAAAAAAAAGAACAATTGATATGTAGACTGAAAAAAAAAATTTTTTTCTAAAAGATTATTGAAAGAGATGATCAAAGATGAACATCAGAAGAAGCAAAAAAAAAAATGTACTGTTCGCAGAGGCTAATAGAATTATAATTACAGTGATCTGATCACCCAACTGCAAAACAGGTAACTTTGCTTTAACAAACTGATAGTCACATATCAATTTTCATTTGGCAAACTTCCATACATAATTAAAACGACATTTCTCGTCTTTCTTTTCTTCCTTTCTTTTTGTTTTTTTTTGTTTAACTCATACTTTCAAACTATTCATTTTTTCAATCTTATTTATTCACAGAATGAAGATGATTATTGACCAGCAAAAAAGAAAAAAAAAAGTTCTCCTTTTTTTCAGCAGTAATCTGTAATGATCAAAAAAAAAAAACGAGAAAAAATGAATGACAAAAAAACATTTCTTTATCTTTTTGGAAAATTGCCAAGAAATCTTTGCCTTTGTTAATTCTTTTAAAATGATTCAGTAAAAAGTTAATGAATTGAGTGGGGAAATGATTTGAAGAATTATTACCGTTAGCAAAAAAAAAAAATTGCTAACTAAATTTTTGCCACTTTTAACAAATAATAAAGAAGAATACAAAAAAAAACTTTCTTTTTTGTTTTAGAGCACCTCAATTGTCAAGATAAAATTAGTTTAGCAAAAACGAAGAGAATAAGGAAGGAAGGAAGGAAGGATTTGGTTAGTGAAGAATAAGTGAGGGGAAAACAAAAAGTGGAACAGATATGTTGAAAAAGAAAACAAAAAATTAAAAGTTTCAAAAAAAAAAAACAAAGATTTTCTTAATTTTTTACAACTATCTTTGATCTTACTGCCAGTGGATGTTGCTGTATTGTTTCAATGCCATAAGAAAATGTTAGAGATTTGAAAAAAGCGGAAAGAAATTTTTATGTGGAAGTAATTTAAAATTTCATCCCAAATTCTAAAGTATTTTTTTTTTTTGGTATATATTTAAAAGATGTCATCACATCATAAATATTATCGTCATGACTGTCAACAAAAAAAACATAATCAGTGCAGTGAATGCTGTAAATTTTGACAACAA